ATAAAAACCTAATTTTCCCTATAAAAAATCCGAATTTTCCCTATAAAAACCTAGTTTTCCCTATAAAAACCAAATTTTCCCTATAAAAAAATACGAATTTTCCCTATAAAAACTGAATTTTCCCTATAAAAACCGCTTGTGCCAGGATGGACATGTGGGCATAGGGGAAAACCTCTGCTGAGGCTGATTTATTTTTTCACCCCCAGGGCTCTGTTCTCTCCTTGTGCCTGGCTGGGTACAACTGGATGGCAAAATAAACATTTTTTCATTTTAAATTTGGCCGGACACATTTTCATTTATAACAAAAACCTCTCCTGAGGCTGATTAATTATTGCACACCCCGGGCTCGGCTCTGTCCTTTCCTGGGGGCTGGCTAGGTAGAATCTGACCGCAGATAAACTGATTTTTATTTTGAATAAACTCATTTATAACGCCCCGGAAGTCCGGGCTCGTCTCTATGGTCCGGGAGCGCCGCGCGGAAGTGACGCAGGGCCCGCGCGGGCGCCGCCGGAAGTGACGTCAGCGCGCAGCGGCTGAGGCGGGAGCGGCGCTCGGAGCGGCCCGAGGGGACGGTGAGGGGGGGAGGGACCGGGAGGGGACAAAGGGGACACGGAGGGGACAAAGGGGACACGGAGGGCACCGGGAGGAGCGGAAAGGGCCGGGAGGGGAGGAAGGGGAGGGGCGAGTCTGTGAGGGGTGGGAGGGCCGGGGGCGGCCCCTCAGTGTCGCCCCGGTGTCCCCTTAGTGTCACCTCAGTGTCCCCTCAGTGTCACCCCAGTGTCCCCTCAGTGCCACCCCAGTGCGATCTCAGTGTCCCCTCACAGTCCTCTCAGTGTTCCCTCAGTGTCCCCTCAGTGCCATCTCAGTGTCCCCTCAGTGCCACCTCAGTGTCACCTTAGTGCCACCTCAGTGTCCCCTCATTTTCTCCTCAGTGCCACCTCAGTGTCCCCTCAGTGCCATCTCCGTGCTCCCTCAGTGCCAACTCACTGTCCCCTCAGTGCCACCTCAGTGTCCCCTCATTGTCTCCTTAGTGCCACCTTAGTGTCCCCTCACTGTCCCCTCACTGCCCCCTTAGTGCCACCTCAGTGTCTCCTCATTGTCCCCTCACTGNCTCATTGTCTCCTTAGTGCCACCTTAGTGTCCCCTCACTGTCCCCTCACTGCCCCCTTAGTGCCACCTCAGTGTCTCCTCATTGTCCCCTCACTGTCCCCTCAGTGTCCCCTTAGTGCCACCTCACTGTCCCCTCAATGCCGTCTCATTGTCCCCTCACTGTCCCCTCAGTGTCCCCTCATTGCCCCCCATTGTCCCCTCACTGTCCCCTCAGTCTCCCCTTAATGCCACCTCAGTGTCCCCTCACTGTCCCCTCAATGTCCCCTCAATGTCCCCAAAGTGTGCCGTCATTGTCCCCTCAGTGTTCTCTCATTGTCCCCTCATTGCCCCTTAGTGCCACCTCAGTGTCCCCTCAGTGTCCCCCCACTGTCCCCTCATTGTCCCCTCACTGTCCCCACAGTGTCCCCTGTGTTCCCTCAGTGTCCCCTCAGTGTCCCCTTAGTGCCACCTCATTGTCCCCTCACTGTCCCCTCATTGTCCCCTCACTGTCCCCACAGTGTCCCCTGTGTCCCCTCATTGTCCCCTCACTGTCCCCTCAGCATCCCCTCAGTGTCCCCTGAGCTGTCCCCGTGTCCCCTTGATGTCCCCTGAGCTGTCGCCATGTCCCCTCCATGTCCCCTGTCCAGTCCCCGTGTCCCCTCTGTGTCCCCTTTGTGTCCCCTGTCAGTCCCCGTGTCCCCTCAATGTCCTCTGAGTGTCCCCTGGGTGTCCCCTGAGCGTCTCTGGTGTCCCCAAGTCCCCTCAATGTCCCCTGAGTGTCTCCGGTGTCCCCTGAGTGTCCCTTCCATGTCCCCCGAGCTTTCCTCGTGTCTCCTGTCCAGTCCCTGTGTCCCCTGAGCTGTCCCTGTGTCCCTTCAGTGTCCCTGAGTGTCCCCTCCATGTCCCAGTGTCCCCATGTCCCCTGAGTGTCCCCGTGTCCCCTGAGCGTCCCCATGTCCTGGTGTCCCCATGTCCCAGTGTCCCCATGTCCTGGTGTCCGCTCCATGTCCCCTGAGTGTCCCCGTGTCCCCTGAGCTGTCCCCTGAGTGTCCCCATGTCCTGGTGTCCCCATGTCCCCTGAGTGTCCCCATGTCCCCTGAGCATCCCCGTGTCCTGGTGTCCCCATGTCCCCTGAGTGTCCCCGTGTCCCCTGAGCATCCCCATGTCCTGGTGTCCCCATGTCCCCTGAGTGTCCCTGTGTCCCCTGAGCTGTCCCCTGAGTGTCCCCATGTCCCAGTGTCCCCTCCATGTCCCCTGAGCTGTCCCCATGTCCCTGAGTGTCCCCATGTCCTGGTGTCCCGTCCATGTCCCCTGAGTGTCCCATGTCCCCAGGCGCCATGTCCTCAACGTCACAGAAGCACCGGGACTTTGTGGCATGCCCGGTGTCCCCATGTCCCCTGAGTGTCCCCTGAGTGTCCCGTGTCCCCTCGATGTCCCCTGAGTGTCCCATGTCCCAGTGTCCCCTCGATGTCCCCTGAGTGTCCCCTGAGTGTCCCCGTGTCCCCTCCGTGTCCCCTGAGTGTCCCGTGTCCCCAGGCGCCATGTCCTCGACGTCACAGAAGCACCGGGACTTTGTGGCGTGCCTGGTGTCCCCATGTCCCCTGAGTGTCCCGTGTCCCCTCGATGTCCCCTGAGTGTCCCCGTGTCCCCTCCGTGTCCCCTGAGTGTCCCGTGTCCCCAGGCGCCATGTCCTCGACGTCACAGAAGCACCGGGACTTCGTGGCGGAGCCGATGGGGGAGAAGCCGGTGGGGAGCCTGGCCGGCATCGGGGACGTGCTGGGCAGGAAGCTGGAGGAGAAGGGCTTCGACAAGGTGGGCTGGGACCCTGGGGACACTGGGGACACTGGGGACACCTGGGGACACTTTGGGACATTGAGGACAGCAGGGGACACCTGGGGATATCAGGGGACACCTGGGGGGGATTGGAGACATCTGGGACAGTGAGGGACATTGGGGACAGTGAGGGACACTGGGAACACTTTGGGACTCCTGGGGACACCTGGAGACACTTTGGGACACCTGGGGACACTGAGGGACACCTGGGGACATCGAGGACAGCAGGGGACACCTGGGGACATTGGGGATACCTTGGGACACCTGGGGACACTTTGGGATCTTTGGGGACAGCACAGGACACCTGGGGGGAATTGGAAACACCTGGGACAGTGAGGGACACCTGGGGACATTGGGGACANGGGGACACTTTGGGATCTTTGGGGACAGCACAGGACACCTGGGGGGAATTGGAAACACCTGGGACAGTGAGGGACACCTGGGGACATTGGGGACAGCAGGGACACCTGGGGATACCAGGGAGCACCTGGGGGGGATTGGAGACATCTGGGACAGTGGGGGACATTGGGGACAGCAGGGGACACCTGGAGACACTTCAGGACACCTGGGGACACTTTGGGACACCTGGGGACACCTGGAGACACTTCAGGACACCTGGGGACACTTTGGGACACCTGGGGACACTGTGGGACACCTGGGGACATTGGGGACACTTTGGGACACTGAGGGACATTGGGGACAGCAGGGAACAGGTTTGGACAAGTGGGGACACTGAGGAAGGGCTCGGGGACATTTGGGGACAGCCTTGGGGACAATCGGGGGTGATGTGGGGACAAGGGGAGGTGGCACGGGGAGGGACATGGAGTGAGGGGGGTGTGGGGACAACAGGGATGGTGTCGCTGTCACCAGGGCGGTTTGGGGACACAGGGAGGGTGACGGTGACCCTTGGCAGTGTCCCCACGCCCTGGTGACACCGCTGTCCCCTGGCTGTCCCCTCATTGTCCCCCCATTGTCCCCTCGGGTGCTGGGACAGCTCTGGGGTCTCTGGTGGCCACAGGTTTGGGGTGGCACCGGAGCTCTTTGGGGTCACTCAGGCGGGACAGAGGGACCTTGGGTGATGTCCCCACAGCCTTGACAATGTCCCCACCCCCTTGGCAGTGTCCCCACACCCTGGTGACACTGCTGTCCCTTCCCTGTCCCCCCATTGTCCCCTCACTGTCCCCCCAGCCATTCCTGGCGCTGGGGCAGCTCTGGGGTCTCTGGTGGCCACAGGGTTGGGGTGGCACCGGAGCTCTTTGGGGTCACTCAGGCGGGACAGAGGGACCTTGGGTGATGTCCCCACGCCCTTGGCAGTGTCCCCACACCCTGGTGACACCTCTGTCCCCTGGCTGTCCCCTTGCTGTGTCCCCCAGCCATTCCTGGTGCTGGGACAGCCCCATAAGGACCAGGGTCTGCAGGTTTGGGGTGGCACCGGAGCTCTTTGGGGTCACTCAGGCGGGACAGGGTGACCCTGGGTGATGTCCCCACGCCCTGGTGACACCACTGTCCCCTCATTGTCCCCCCATTGTCCCCCCAGCCATTCCTGGCGCTGGGGCAGCTCTGGGGTCTCTGGTGGCCACAGGGCTGGGGTGTCACGGGAGCTCTTTGGGGTCACTCAGGCGGGACAGGGTGACCCTGGGTGATGTCCCCACGCCCTGGTGACACCACTGTCCCCTCATTGTCCCCTCATTGTCCCCTCCTTGTCCCCTCGCTGTCCCCCTGGCAGGCGTACGTGGTGCTGGGGCAGTTCCTGGTGCTGCGCAAGGACGAGGAGCTGTTCCGGGAGTGGCTGAAGGAGACGTGCGGGGCCAACGCCAAACAGAGCCGCGACTGCTCGGGCTGCCTGCGCGAGTGGTGCGACGCCTTCCTCTGAGCCCCCTCCCCAAAAAACGGCACCCCAAAACCCCCAACCCCTCCCTGCACCCCGAAACCCCAGCCCCCGAGCCCCCCAGCCCGTCCCCGCGCCCCCAAAAATCCCCCAAAGTCCCGGCGAGCTCCGGGTGCCGGGCGCTCCTTGGAGGGGCTGGGGGCTCCCCAAAAGCATCCCGGGGGACCCCCAGGGTTCCTCCAGGACCCCCAAAGCAGCTGTGGGGAGCCCAAAACTCACCCAGAGATCCCAAAACTCAGCCAGGGACCCCAAAGCAGCTGTGGGGAGCCCAAAACTCACCCAGAGATCCCAAAACTCACCCAGGGACCCCAAAGCAGCTGTGGGGAGCCCAAAACTCACCCAGGGACCCCAAACCAGCTGTGGGGAGCCCAAAATTCACCCAGAGATCCCAAAACCACCTCTGGGGATCCCAAAATTCACCCAGGGACCCCCAAAGCAGCTGTGGGGAGCCCAAAATTCACCCAGAGATCCCCAAAACTCACCCAGGGACCCCCAAAGCAGCTGTGGGGAGCCCAAAACTCACCCAGGGACCCCAAAACTCACCCAGGGACCCCAAAAGTGGCTGTGGGGAGCCCAAAACCACCTCTGGGGATTCCAAAAGCAGGTGTGGGGAGCCCAAAATTCACCCAGGGA